CCTAAAGGCCCTACACCCTAAACCCTAAACCTAGGTTAGGCCGAAGGGCTTAGGGTACTGAGACTCCCGGCTCAAGCCCAGATCGTCGAGCGGGTTTGGAGTTTGGGGTTTGGGTTTGGGTTTAGGGTTTAGGGTTTAGGGTTTGGGGTTTGGGGTTTGGGGTTTGGGGTTGGGTTGTTATCGGGATGTCTCAGAATTTCATGGTTTTTTTGGACGGTCTTTTAATATGGCACCGTGTAGTCTAGGGCTTCACAGTGCTTTAAGGTCTTACGTGGCATATACGTCATAGTCACAAGTGATCCTTGCCGCATGCCCCCTGAGCCCTCAACCCCCAAAGCCAAAACCTAAATCTATTCTTAAGTAACGGTTCTAGGTATGGAGGGTTTGAGTTTTGTGGTTGGCTTTCTATCTGTATAGGCACTTAGAAACCCTAAATTTACTAAACCCTAAACCCCCTTTGAGACCCTAAACCGGACCGAGATGGGCGTCCACGCCGCCTTGGTTGTGGTACTCGTCTGCCTGATGCTCCGATGCTATTGAAAATCAGTTTTGGTTGAGGGTTTACCTAAAGCCTAAAGGTCAAAGCATTTCTAAGATTTCTTATGATTATGGTTTCCTTGCAAAAATCCTCAAAAGCGCAGGCGATTCGGGGTTTAAGGCAAGGTCCACTGCCCAGGGTCTCCGCATGCTCACAGGATTTGAATCCTCAACACTGAAACCCTGCTGTCCTGAACCTGTCCACCCCCCAAACCTGGTCCCTTGCCCTAAGGCCCCAAAGCCCAAAACAAAACCCGACCCCTCAACCGTAGCTCCTAAGAGTCTGAATCCCTAGGAGCGATTCAGCCTAAGGATGGATATCTACCGCGCGCCGAGTGTGCTCTCTTGCCTCTGGCTTCTGTTCCTCGGGGCGCGCAATGGTTGGAGATACACCTCCTGCAAGGAGTCTACGACCCGACACAACTACCAACCCAAACCTCAGTACCTAATTATTGGGTCCAAAAGACCCTTAGGGTAAGGGATCGACAGTAGTTAAGGGTTCTATAATATTAATGATAATCAAACAATAAGAAACCCTAAACCCTAAACCCTATCATTTCCTGGTGTTTGGGCGGTGCTGCCCTCGCTCTCTTTCTCGGTGGGGTTGGTGGAGCTTGGACCTGCTCACCTCAGGACTCTCTCCGCTGTGGACCGTAGCTGGTCACTTTCTACAGTTGTCTTGCCCCTGTACAGGACGTACAGCTTGTTTGTCCTCGCTGCCTGTCGGGTTTGTTTTTGTCACACACTCCGAGTAGGATCGTTAAGAGTTGTGCGTTTTGGGCCGATTTTCGGGTTCAGGGTTGTCCATTCTACTCATGATGTTCTACGTTCTTGCAAAACGATTTAGTTGACATTACCATAATAAAGAAGCCATATCATTTACTATAGATCCCTAT